GACTGGATTCAGATCCTAGCTCTGACATTTACCAGCTGGGCGGCCTTGGATAAATCAGTCATTTCAGAGGACACCGAGCCCAGAGGGCACGGCAATAGGGCCTGCCTTGCAGGGCTGCCATCCAGCTCCAAATGACACACAGAAAGTCCCTGCTATGGTGTCCCTGATGCTCGGAAGACATCTGGGACCATTTCACCTGTGATCACTTGGCTTCTTTCCAGTCTTTAGGCCTGGCTGTCTGTAGGGCAGGGCCGAGTGTCTGGTACCAGGGGCTTGTCCTCTCTTCTCTGGGAGACGTTGACAAGGATAGTTCAGTGCTGGAGAGTTACCTGGCGGACCATAAAAGGCACATCTGCTGAGATTCTGATTCTGACGCACTCCTGGGTGTGGGCACGTGAGTCCCACGTGGGACTCTACACGTGGGTACGGCCCGTGAAGGGTTGCCCCTCCCCCTCCCCTGGGCTGTCCTCTGGTAGGTCACCTAGACAGGACAGTAGGGTTGCTTCATCCACCACAAGGTGCCAACAAGAGGGATAGAGTGGCTCTCCTTGGTTAGCAAGCAAATTGCCTTTATTTTACCTTCACTTTCTGAATAGGGAATAAATACATATGGTTCAAAAATCAAAACAGTTTAGAAAGAAATGCATTCGAGAAATCTTGCTTCCACCTCTGCCTTGTCCACCCTGTTTCCCCACACCTCATAGGCGACTTCTTTTGTTACCTTGCTGACATAAATTCAAGCAAATACATTTATTCCTATATCCACCTCCCTTTCTTACACAAAAGGTAACATAACATATATACTGTTTTGCACAGCATTTTTGCTTCCAAATATATCCTGGAGATCTTTCCATATCAAAATCTGACAGGTTCTTTTTTGTTTTTTTACAGCTGCATATTTTTTCATTGTGGAGATGTACTATAGTTTATTTAACCTTTCAATGTCCAGTATAGTAGCCACATGTGGCTATTTACATTGAAATTAATTACAATCAAGTCAAATTTGAAATTCATTTCCTCGGTGGCACTAGCCACATTTCAAGAGCTCGGTATAGCTACCTGTGGCCAGTGGCTATCATGTTGGACAGCACCAACAGAATGGAACATTTCTATCATTGCAGAAAGTTCTATTGGATTGCTGGTTTCACGAATCCCCTAAAGCTGGACACCTGGCTCATTTCCAGTCTCAAGGCGGTTCAGTGATGATACCACCCATGGGGTATCAGGGATGCAGGGATGCAGGAGAGCTAAGTGAGAGCTGCTTTGGGAATGCTGGGCCTTCAACCTCAGATCTCAAAATGTGGGAGGCTCCTGGAAGAGAAGGTCTATTGGGTTTGGGGCAGGGGCTTGACCAGGGCCTGGAAAAGAGAGTAGCCCTAAGGACAGGCTTCCTGCTTAGCTCTAACCCTCCACCCCCTCCCTCCATCCCCGCCAAAATGCAAGCCGGTTTCCTTTCATTCACGATTTAAGTCCTGCACTGCTGATATAGGGACAGAAGAGATACAGTTTCTTCCTTGGAGAAAGAGACAGATTGTTACTTGCCTTGTGACAAAGACTTTCAAATAGGCCTCACCAAACATCAAAAGGCCTTACAATACCTTTAATATAACAGAGTGAAGAGGTGGGAAAACAGGCATCAATTTATAGGGGTTGCAAACTTTTTGAGGGCAATTCCAAATCTATCCAAATTCCCAAAAATCAATCCCAAAGTGCATAACCTTTGACTCAGCACTGTCATATTTATTTATAAATTTGTCTTATGGATACACACATAAGTACCGACAAGTTTATGTACCCAGATATTTCCTGCAGGCACCACTGTCCGTTGCAACAAAAGACTGACACAACGTAAATACCCAGGAGGAGAGTAGTGAAAGAGACTGTGACACATCCATATGATGGAGGACTATGTAGATTTTGTAGAGGCAGATACATTATTAAGTGAAAATAGCAAGGTGCTAAATTGTGGAACACGTGCTACAATTTGTGTTAAACACACACACACACACACACACACACACACTGCTTGTATATGCGCAAAACATCTCTGGAAAGATGTATTAAAACTGTTGTTCTTTTAAACCGAGCACATGTATGTATTACCTTTAAAAAACAATTTTTTTTATTTTTTTATTTTTAAGAGGTACCCACTGAGTAATGGTGAGCAGGCAGAGGGAGGGAGATTCTTGGGGAGACCTGCTCAGTCACCTGAGCTCTGAGTGTCCCCAGTGACTGCACAATTCCTCCATACGAGGTGACAAGGCCACAACAGTCCAGAAATGTCACCCACACTGTGACTCCATCTCCATCACCTCTGGAGGCCTCGCCCTGCTTTGGCTGTCATACCGCCTGCGCCCAGCAGGGGGAAGCACAGACCCACTAAAGCATTGGTTCCAAACTTCACCAAGCATCCCTTCTAGGATTTCCTCCTCTGTGGACACTGATTGGAAAGACACTTCCTGCCAAGCCGACCAAATTTATTAGGTAATAATTGATTAAATTCTCTCCCTTATTTTGTGCCTCCCATTTCTCGTCAGGGTGCACGCGACAGAGTGTAGGCTCGCTAAGCTCGTCATTTTCCACATAAGAGGTTCTACTTAGCCCAACCTTGTTTCCACCAGGCCTTGGGTGGCGGTGGTTGGCCAGAGCATCCCCAGGGGTTGAGGGCTCAGGCTGGCAACTGCTTCATTAGGGGCTCCCCACCCTGCTCAGATTTTCAGCCGCGGGACACAACTCCCACCCTTCTCCTACCCAAAGAAGTAGTTCTGGGCGAGAGGAAGCATGAAAACCTGGCACCAGTCTGACTGGTGGCAGTCACTCCCCCAAATGTGTTTGGAGTCTGTCCCTTGCTAGGGGTGAGCAGCCTATTAATGGGAACTCTTTTCATCAGCCACAGATTCTCCAGGAGTGAGTGCAGTGCTGGGCATACAGCTGGTGTAAATTAAAGGTTTGTTGTTGTTGTTAAATGGAAAGAGACAACCATCGAGGGGACCGGGGACTAAATTCTTTAAAAAGCAAAAAAAAAAAAAGGAGGTCCTAGTTAATCTCAAGGGCAAGAACCCACTGACAAGACTGGACCATCTTCAGCTGAAGGGTCGTAGGCACAGAATGGATCCCCTTCTTAGCATTCCCAAGGAAAATCCTGCTTTGTCTTACCTTATGGGTCCCTGGCTGGGACATGAAATCAGGAACCACATCTCTCTCACCCACCAGAGGTGCTGGTGACCTTGGCGGAAGAAATGCTTAAATCAGGTCGGTCTGGGGGAAGGGACTGTTTCATCCTAGGGCCTTCCTTAAAATAAATTTCCCAGCTCCTGCTTAACTCCTGTCAGTGGTTCTGGATGTGTGTGTGGGGGGGGGGGGGGGCGCGCAGAGGGAAGAGAGGGCTCTAAGGGGAAGGGATACTTATGGCCTCTGGCCTGACCTGGAGGAAATCCAGGGCTCCTTTAGTGGGCCCTCCCTCCTCAATGTCTTAGAAGTGCAGGGAGGGGCAATTGGGGATCTCTACAAATTAAACGGGGAACAAAAGGAGCAACTGAGAGGTTGGAGATTATGTCTCAGACCTGGGGATCTATAGCCCTCCCAATACTCGCTCACCTTTCTGGACCACCCTGGATGAGAGGGGCAGTGGGGGCTCGGACAGCAGCCCCAACGCAGTGTGGATTTTGAGAGTCCTCTCTGCCCCTTATTAGTTGTGTGCCCTTGGGCAAGTCACTTAACCACAGTGAGCCTCAGTTTTCCCATCTCTAAATGAAGATATCAACACCTACCTTCCCTGGTCATTGTCGCGGGATGAATGAAAGAAGACCTCTGGAAGCATTTCTGTAATTGCTAGACTTCAGGGATTATTATTCGCCAAGGTGAGAGGCCACCCTAGGTCCCTGGAGGTGACAGCGTCAAGGAGATAATTTTTTTTTTTTTCCTCCTCTGCGGTGCCTGCTCCTTTCTCAGCCTGGATATGCTGGCTTTAATCCTCTGTTCCCCAACCCCCGTGCTTCTCCTTGAGACCGCCTTGGTGGTCTCCAGATTCTGGCACCTTGGCCTTTTCCCATAGACGCTCCCATTCTACGACCCTGAGGATGTCGGCATGCGCGCAGAGTTGGTCCAGGTTGGGACAGGTCGTGGGGCTCTCCGCTGGCCTGAATGTGCGGCCCCCGCCCTGCTTTGGGGTTCTCATTTGCAGATGGTTCCCTCTGGTCCTCAGCTCCTCTCTGGACTAAACAGAGGAGGACAGAAACAAGGGGTGGGGGGCCTGGAAGGGGGTTCCCACCTTCTCAGTCGGGAATCCGAGAGGGGAGCCCAGCCTTTGCGCCCCAACGCCGCACCGTCAGGGGTCTCCAAGCCGCGCTCGCAGTTGCTGGCAATCCTCGACAAGGAGGTTTCCCCCTCCCGACTCCCAGGCGGTGACACCGCCCCCCCCCCCGCCTTCCCCACTTCCCCTCACCCAGACCCCGCCGATCCCCGGCTCCGAGGGAGAGCGGGAGCATGCGGTTTTAGGACCCGGAGGCGCCGCCGCGCGCGCCGCCGCCTCTGCCTCGCCTCCGTCGCCTCCCGCTCCGGCAGGTGAAGCGGCGCCCGCCGCCCCCTCTGCGGCAGGTGAAGCGGGTCGGCCGCCCCCTCCCCGCCGCGCCATGGCAGCGGCGGACCCCCGGCCCGCGCCCCGCGCCCGCCCTCTCCCTCCAGCCCGCCCCCCGGGGGCCGGGTGCGTAGCGGCGGCGGCGAAATGCGGTTTGCGCGCTCGGGGAGCGACAGCAGAAGTTAGAAAATCGCCGAGGGGGGAGCCCGCGCCGCAGCTTCCTGCCCCCGGCCCAGCCCTCTGGCCCCGGCGGCCTGCAGCCTGACTTCCTCCCCCCACCCCGCAGCTCGCCGCCCGGCTCCTCGGACGGGGCCGCCCCGATGGGACGCCGCGCCCCGGCCCTCGCGCGCCGCTGAGCCGAGCGCCGCCGAGCCGAGCCCGCGCCGCCGCCGCCCGCCGCTGCCCTGCTCGCCCCCCCGCCCCGCAATCCCCCCCAGGCCCGGAGCCGCGTCCCCGGTCCCCCGGAAAGCTGGATTTCCGAGGCTGGAGGCGCCTGGCCGACTGGGTGGGGACCACCATGGGCAACGCGGCCGGCAGCGCGGAGCAGCCCGCGGGCCCCGCCGCGCCGGCCCCCAAGCAGCCCGCGGCGCCCAAGCAGCCGATGCCCGCGGCCCGGGAGCTGGAGGAGAGGTTTAACCGGGTTCTGGTGAGTGTGACCCGCCGCGCGCTGGGCGCGGGCGGGGGGCGCCAGGGGCTCGGCACGCGTCCCCGCCCCCGGGGGCTCAGGTACCGCTTGGAGATACCCGGCCCAGTGGCTGCCCCTACAGAGAGGGTGGGAGTGACAGTGGCTTCTTTCAGAGTGACTTAGCACTCTCCCCCCCAAAACTTTCTTCTGCAGTCGCCCAGTCTGCCTCCCCAAGACACCCCTTTCCCCGGCGCTCCTGGGTCTACAGGTCTAAACAAAAATGTCCTGCGAGGAAGTTGGGAGCCCGGCACTCAAGGGGGCCCTGGGGCATCCCCTTCCATACTGCACGCAGGCCCAGCCATGGGGCGCAGGTCTGGAGCATCTGCTTGTGTCTCAGGGCCAAAGATGGAAGGGTTACATTTTAACGTCCTGGGAGCTGGAGACCGAGTTCAGGTGTTTGGTCCTGATTCGTTCGTGCCTGGGCTGCTGGGAGCTGGGTCCTCAGATCATGCGGAGGGAGTGTCTGTGCAGGAGAGATTGCCTGTGGGTCCTTATCTTGGACATTTCCTCCAGCTCACTGAAGGGATTAAGGTTAGGAGGGGTGGGGTCAGGATGGGTTGGTCTCTCTGGCTTGGGGTGGTGCAGAATCCTGGAACCCCCCCCACTATCACCTGCTGGAGGAATTGGGGGGCTTGGAGACTAGGCCCCTGGGGAGAGAGCCATCAGCTCAGGCTGAGCCTGGAAGCAGTCAGGATGTGTTTGGGGAGGGGCTCCCGGAGCAAAATCAGGGCTCCCTAAGACCTGGTGGGAGGCAGAAATAGGGAGGGGGAAGGGCCACTCATTCTCACTTCCCTCTTCCTACCTCAGCCCTGTCCCAGGCTTCCTTCTCTAACTAATTGCCTGGTGGCCTGTGTGCTGTCAGCTCCCTTGCTGGACTCTGAGTGACAGGCGAGTGAGGCCGTGCTTTTTCTCAGGGGCACTTTGTAGCCTAAGCAGGCAGGCCCTGCAGGTCTGAGGGAGGGGGCCCAGGGGAGGTGCCGGCAGGCGAGCAATGCTGGCCCGCGGCAGTGCTCAGTCCGGTGTCCCCTCCACCTCCTTGGCATCATTTCCCCTCCCTTGGCCAGTCATTGGGCAGTACTTGCCAGATCCTCTGCATGGCCCCTCATAAGAGTTCCTAGAAATCTTGGCTGCCCCCTCCCAGAAGGAAGGCTAGGAGGGGTTTGGAGGAGCCATCGGGTGGGGTGGGTCTATCCTTGTGAAGGCACCTTGCTTGATTAGGGGAGAGGGAGGGACTCTGAGAGACGCCTCACATGGGGCCAGGCCCTGATTACTCCATCTCTCCACCTGCTTTCCTTTCCCCAAACCCATGGCCTGGTAAAGCTGAGCTGAGCTGAGCAGATGGGGGAGGGGGGGAGAATGAGGAGAGACAGTCTCTGGGGGACCATCTGGGGAGCCTGAGTTGGTGGTGGATCCTTGGACCCCTGCCAGCCTGATGTGGGGGGAGGATATGGGTCTGTCTGTGTTTCCCCCCAAGTGTGTGTCTGTGGACAGGGGTGGGACAGGCCATCAGGGTGAGGGGCGGGCCCCAGTCTGCTCTCTGTTATACACACACTAGTGGGGAGGAGCGGTATGAATAACTCAGACCAGTGGGAAATCCAAAAGTCAAATGGTGAGGTTCTGATGCATGTGTAGTTCTTGATCGCCCTGCTTGTGTTTTGGCCTTAGCTCTGATTGGCTGAGTCTGGTGCTAAGCGCCATGGGAAGTCCCTGAGTACCAGGGCGTGGAGGGCGGAGGCCCAGAGCCGGGTCTTAGAGGGTGTCTTGGTGGAGAAAGCAGCGGTAGCTGGGTAGGAATCTAGGGTTGGCAGCACCCACTGGGGCTCAGCTTTCCCCCCCAGCCCACAGGAACCCCAGTGTGTTTATACTTGGCCTTCTTTCTGGGGAGGGATCAGCCTGTCCCTTGTCCTGTGTGAGCAGAACACACCCCACCCAAGGTTGCTTGGCTAAGAACCTGGCTCCCCTCACTCCCCACCAACAGGGGCATGAGCCCCACCCTGGGGTGACAGCCTCGCCCCCGCCTGCAGCTGCCTGGGCTAAGTACTTGGCTAACCCCACGGGCCTGGTAAGCAATATCGCAGGGCGCGTCTCCATCAGAGCCTGCCTCCATGGCCAGAGCGGAGTCCTGTCCATAGTGAATGTCTACGTGGAGAAGAGCCTCCGACTGCTGAGAGTGATGGGCTCATCACCCGCCAGGAATCCCCGAGTCTTGATGGCAAAAGCATAGCCCCTTTGGATATGGTCACATGGCCCCGGGGGAGCTCTTCCTTTTGCTTAATAGCAGCCATTTGGTCCCTGGTGGGGGGTAGGACCCTGAGACCCCAAATCACTCCTTGGCTCCTGGCTGTGGGACCTGTCTTGTGGGTGAAGGGCGCCCCCACCAAGGCCTACCCCCAGACAGGAGATGGAGCTTGCTCTCCCTTTCCCTGCCGTGACCTTTCTCCCATGCAGGGGTGGGTGGCAGGGGGCTAATTTTCTAAGGAGGCTGTGAGAGAGAGGGGTGCCCCTGCTTAAAATGGGGGTGGGGAGAAAGAGCAGGTTGAGCCGGGGTTTCCTGCTGCTGCCTTAGCAACAGTGGAGGAGCGATGGCTGCCCAGAGACACGGGCCTGCTGTGATGGTGGGAAAACCAGCCCGCCAGACTCCACGCTCTCGCCTCTCCTGTGCCGTGCCCAAGGCTCGTGTCTTCCCAGACCTTCCCCTGGAAGGGTCGGGGTTTGGGATGACAAGGCACTCTTTCCAGGCCTTCCAGAAGTTCCATGCTTACGGCCAGGCATAGGACACCCCTGATCTGTCTGGTCAGGGAGGAGCCTGTGACCTTGGGACCAAGGGACCAAGGGAAGGTGTCCTGGATGTTGTGCTCGAGGCCGAGGGTGATGCTGATCCGTCCACATGGTTCCCAGGCCGAACCATTCGGAAAGGCGTTTGCCTGCTGGGGCCTAGCCCCCTGGGCTGCCCTTAGCATGTGCCCAGGGACGTAGACATTTGGGGAGGCTGTGGGGGGAGGTGAGGACAGCCTCACACAGGGTGTGGATCCTGGAAGTCCTACTTTCAGCTGGACCCCTTCCCCGAACAGCAGAGGTAGACTCCATTGTGTTGGCCAGAGCCCTTCTCTGGGGCGAGGCAGATGAAGTTCGGGGAGGTGTAGCTGTAGGGGTGTTTAGGCCCTGGACCTCTCATCTCTGGGGTGTCTTACATGGAGGATCCCAATGGCGCTGGGGCCGTGTGGGCAGATGATGGCCTGGACAGGTGCTGTGGGGTGAGATTCTTAGCAGGCAGGGCTGGCGCACGCTGACCCTGGAAGCCCAGGGATGTGGTAGGCATGATTCACAGGGACATCTGGGGCCAGTTGGCAAAGAGCTGGGTAAGATGGGCAGGAGCAGGTGGGGTTGCTCTGGGGGCTACCTCTGCACTTTTCCTGGGAGCATGGGGCCCTGGGAGGTGGCTCAGGCCTCCCCGCCTCTGAGGGGGACAAGGGTTACTCGCGGGAAAAGCAGACTAGCTTCCTGAGCTCTGAGGTCATTACGCTGGGGGGTTGGATTTTGTCTTTGCCACTTATTACCTGGGTGACCTTGAGCAAGTTACTTGACCTTTCTTTCTTTCTTTCTTTCTTTTTTTTTTTTTTTTTTAAGATTTCATTCATTTGACAGAGAGACAGCGAGAGAGGGAACACAAGCAGGGGGAGTGGGAGAGGGAGAAGCAGGCCTCCCGCCAAGCAGGGAGCCCGATGCGGGGCTCGATCCCAGGACCCTGAGATCATGACCTGAGCTGAAGGCAGTCGCTTAACCAACTGAGCCACCCAGGCGCCTTCTGTTACTTGACCTTTCTGAACTTCAATTTTCCCCATGGGTAGAAAGAGAATGCTACTGGCCTAGGCTGGCCTCCTAGGATTGTTGAGAGATTAAGTAGAGTTTGCCTGACCCAGAGCAAGTGCTCCAGAAACTCTTCCCAACGATGAGGAAAGGGATGATACCGGAGCAGATAGGGTCCTCTCCATATTGGAGGCCTTCTAGGCCCCTCTGGACTGTGCCTTTCCCCTCTTCCCACCTCCATTACCGAGACCCACAAAGGTTGCCAGTGTCAGCCATCACAGGCCAGGCTGCCCTCGCTGCCATCATGCAGGTCAGCCACAGCGGGGCCTAGGGGCCTAGACCGAAAACTGCCTGGTGGCCGGAAACCACGGGAGGGAGGGCCCACCTCTCGTGGAGGGTGGGGCAGTGGTGGTGTTAACGGTAGCTGTGTGCTCATGGGGAGGGGGTGGGGAGGCCTCCACTTCCCTCTGAGAGACGGTGTGCTGGGGGGGGGTTCCCCAGTGAGTAAGAGCTCAGTGTGGGCAACAACAGGAAGCGTAGGGTGCTGGGTGGCAGGAAATGGGGCTGGCTGTTCCTGGTTCCTCAGACGGGGGACTGGGCCCAGGCTGTCTGCAGAAGACCCCTGGGGGTTCGGGACCCACATTTCTCACTGCCCTCAGTGAGAAGGAAACTGAGTCTTCTTACCAGCTTGCCAGCCAGGTCAGCTTGGGCAAGCGACTTAATCGCTCTCTGCCTCAGTTTCCCATTTGTGAACTGGAGATCATCATACTATTTCCTGTGTAAGCTTCTTTTTGAGGTTTAAATGAGTCAGTAGATAGAAACCACCTGGAATGGCACTTAGCACAGAGTGGACGTTGGGGGGAATGTGTATTGTCAGTGCTGTAATTCTCCCACCGGCTTAGATCAGCTTGGGCAGCCCCTGCTGTCCTGGCTCGCCCCTTGTCCCTGCCATGGGGACCCTTTAAACCCTGATGGGAGAAGCTGTGAGCTTTTTGGGGGTTCTCAGCACCTAATCCTGGGCCAATAACTCCAGAGCCCTCCTCTAAGTCTGGGATTGCCTAGAACTGCCGCAGAAAATCTATATACTGGAACTTTAAAACGTGAACAAAATGGATTGTGTTTGGAGATGCACTGAGAGCTCTAAAACCAAGGTTGAGGCCTTGGAGAGGGGGGCGGAGGGGAGATGGGTGGGGAAGTGGGGGCTGGGGGGACACTTCCTGGCTTCTGGGCCCATCAGGCTGTGGAGGCCCTGTAGGGCTGGTCTGAGACTGGGCTTGGTACCCAAGTTCAAGGGCATTCTGGGACTCAAAGGGCCAGACGTCATGAGGAGAAGGTGGGCAGGTGGGTTGGGACATAGTCTGAGCTCAAGCTGAAAGTGAAACCAGAGGGTGTGTCTGTGTCCAGATGCAGACGGAGCCCGGCAGTCTCCAGGGAGACCTCTCCAGATGTCAGCACTTGGGGGAGAGTGGGTCAAGGCAGTGCTTGCAAGGGGCTGGTCTTGGCGGAGTGAGGTTGGAGGCCCCTCTTGCCCCTGGAGAGGGAGGGACGGGAGAGGGGAGAATGATCCCCACACATTCTAGCAGGAAAGTTCGGAAATCAGCTCCTTTTCTCTGCCACGCCCTCAAAGATGGATCTTTTCTCTCTCTTCCCCTGACTCAAAGCCTCAAGGGCAACAGGGAAGGGGGGGCTGGAGGGTCAGTTCACTTTTGGCCAAGCCTCAGAGACAGGTCTGTTGGCTCTGGATGTTTTCACAAACTTCTGCTCATCCCACCGGCCCTCACCTCGGGGTCTCCAGTGGACTCCTCCCACCCCCCAATCTGTGAAACGCCTCTGCACAGTGTGCATCACTGGAGAGTATTATTACATCAAAACACAGCTTCTCACTGGGTATTTCCAGGAGCTCTGGGAGCCGCGAGGCAGAAGGGAAGTGTGCCTATTTTCCGGAGGAGGAGGCTGAGGCTCAAGGAGACAGAGGAGTCATCAGGCTAGGTGGGCCCAAAAGCTGGATGTCCTTGACTCCAGCCCTGGCTCTTCCTCCCCACCACGTCCCCTCACGGGAGGCAGGTGTTTCTCCCCCCGCGCCCCACACCTGGACTTCCCTGTCCTTTCCTGTCCCACGTGAGCCCTGTCCGCCAACCTTCGACTTGTCTCTCAGCCCCCGGCCCCGTGGTACCGCCTCCTCGCTGAGGGCCCTGGGTCTGGGGTCTGCAGCCGTTTCCCAGGAGGGTTTCACTCCACCCTGAGTGAGTGGCATCTTCTGGCTCCTCTCGCGCTCCTTAGGGTACCCGTCTCCCCGGTGGGCACAGCCGAGGAGCAGCTGCTAATTAGTGCTCAGCGCTGTCAGAGCTATTTCTGATTTCCGAGCCTAAATTTAGCCCGTCTGGCAGGCTGGCACGTAGCCCCCGGGGCTTGAGCACACCCAGGTGGGGAAGGGGCAAAGGAGTGGCCTGCCCTCCACCACTGTCGGGGCAGGTGGGCCCCACAGCAGAGGCCTCCCCCTCCCTGGGAGTAACCACTGGGCAGCCCTGGGGGAGTGGGCCAGGGCGCTGGTTCAGAGTCAGCTCTGGGCTCAAAGCCAGCCTGGCTCCCCGCTTCCTGGCTTTGTAACCTTGGGCAGGTCATTAAACTCATCAGTCCTTGCACCTGTAAGATGGGACGGGTGGTGCCGACGGTGGTGGTGAGGGTGTCCCCCCGCGGGGAGGGCTCAGAGCAGAGCATTAGTTAGCATTAGTTGCTGCCTCTAGAAGTGCCACTGGGCCCAGTCCAGGAACCAGATGGGTCCCTGGGGTGGGTGAGGGCCTGGAAAGACCCATGTTGGGAAGCAGCTGTCCCCTGTAAGGCTCAGTGGCTGGGGCTCAGCCACCCCCCTCACTCCTCCTCACCGCCCTTCCCCGCCACCCCCTCTCTCCTCTGAGTCGGCCACAGCTCCAAGTTTCCCTGACATTGGCTGCCTCCCAGCCTCCCCCTTCCCCCTGAGCCTCGCCCCACTTTGCCCTGCCCCACCCTGGATCTCTATGGAGATCCAGGAGAGAGAGAAACAGAGATGGAGAAGGGTCTGGGGGAGGCTTTGCCCTCAGCTCCAAGGCCCTTCCTGGGCGATCGGTCAGTGGTGGCAGGAGCCGTTCTGGCTACTGGCGTCTTGGAGGAGGGCAGCAGATGAGACAGCAGCGGTTTCCTCAATCCAGGGGCTCACTTTCGCAATGGGGAGAAGCATGACGTACCCCCATCCCCAGCTGGCCTGCGGGGGGGGGGGCGGTGGGTAGGCCGTTTCACCTCTCAAGTGGGGCCCCCGCCGGAAAGCTTGGGCAATGGGGGCTCAGAGCAGCCAGCTTCCTGTTGTCTGGGACTGACCTAAGGCAGTGATTTTGGGGGGTGAGGTCTGGCCAGAGCCCCAGAACTAGGCCCAGCGCCCCGGAGAGGAAGCTGGCTGCAGAGCCTCGGGTGGGTGTGGCGCCCTCTGGGCTCCGGCTCTGGCCTCCTCTCAGGCCCTTGTGACTGAGGCTGTGTGGTGAGCCACCAGAGCTGGTGACAGGGGCTTTCTGACTCTGGGCTGGGGATCCCTGGGGACTCCCACATCCCCAGTGGGACGGAACTCCTTGAGGGCAAGAACTCTTTTGGGGCCTGACGCCTAGGAGACCGTCTTTTAGCCTGGGGTTTACTGAATTGGGGTAGACTGGCGTCATCTTCTGTGTCTATTAGGAAGACACGCCAAGTTCCAGGGGGCCCGGGATCCCCTGGTGCTGGCAGCACCGGGCAGGACCCTACACCCGCCCTGTAAGGGAGAAGCTGGATGGGCACGGCTGTGGCTGGGGGAGGAGGACCAGGCAGAGCACTGCTGACCTTTCTTAGCTCCTGAGGAGAGTCCCAGCCTGGGCCACCAGCACCACAGACCCAGCATGCTTGCTGCCGGCCCCAGTTCCTGTGGCTGGGTGACCTTCCCCAGGAATGCCCCCCCGCCGCCCCTCCAGCCGTGATGCGCCTGCTTGGAGTTCCCTGCGTGTCTGACAAGTTCCCTTGGCTTGTCTCGGTCTCCTCCTTCTAGAAGTGATCAGGAGGGAGGGCGCTGGAGAGGGGTGAGGAGGAGACAGCTGTTTCCACCCTGGCAAGAGGTTTCCTGGTGTTTGTGAGACATTGGTGCCCTGGGCTGGGGCCGCATGTAGTCCCCGTGGTGTGTGGTGGCACGCAGGAGTGGGGCATAGTGGGGCCTGGCTGGAGATGGATCCCGCCCAAATGCAAGAAGAGATGGTACCCTCTTATTGCACGTGGGGAAGTGAGTCCAGAAGTGCCGGAGGCCCCAAGAAGTTAGGCTGAGAACCCGTGCTCTTACCATCCCGGCCGTCGTGCGGGGAGGTGGTGTATGGACGACAGAGCCCAGGCCCTGGGGTCAGGCAGCCTCAGGGTCAAATCCCAGTGTCCCTTTCTAGCTTTGGTCCTCGGTTTTCTCATCGGCTAATCTGCTTATCTCCCGGGGAGAGAGGGTGATGGGGATTCAGGAGGATGACAGATCTCCTAGGGAGCTGACCCCATGCCTTGCCCCTCACACGGGGGCCCCAGGCTCAGGGTCCTTACCTTGTCCTCCAGAACTGCATGAACTTGCCCCCGGACAAAGTGCTGCTGCTGAGCCAGTATGACAACGAGAAGAAGTGGGAGCTCATTTGTGACCAGGTGGGTCCCAGCCCCTTCCGGCATCAGGGTGCCCTGCCCTGGCCAGGCTGGGGCTGGCAGGAGGGGGGCACTGCCACGCCGCCCGGAGGGTCAAGACCCTGCCCAGAGGCCTGTGTAGCATCTGCAGAGGGTGCTGGGGGTGTCTTCAAGACTCTAGAGTCTCCTTCTCTTGGACATGGGCCTCTCCAAGGACCTTATGAGTCCCTAGCAGGGCTGGGTCTGCCCTCTGGAGAGCTGGCAGGGGCTAGTGCGGGGCGCTGGCCAATCCAGCCGGGCCACGTCACCGTCCTCCTTGCTGGGCTTCTTGGGACAGCCTCTTTTGACCCTCCAGCTCTGGGCTGGGGAGGAGAGGGTGCAGCCCCAGGGTTGGGCCTCTTTGACCCCATGGGAGGTGAGGAGGAAGGGGCAGGACCCTTGTCCTTCTTTTCCTTGGGCCCAGAGGAGCTAGTGTCAACCAAGCAACAACCCAAAGGTAACCAGTTCCCAAGTGGCAGAGCAAGAACTAGAAGCCCTGTCTCCTGGTGCTCGGTCCCGCACCTGGGTTTGCACCTTTGTGGCTCACCGGGTGCCCCTGCCTCTCCGGCTTCTAGGGCTGCTGTCTGTGGTAGCAGGGAAGACCCCTCTCGCGCTGCTGGGCCAGGGTGGGGCCTGGCTGCCGCAGTGGTTCAGTGAGGGAGGGAGGCTGGGGGTGCGGAGGTGGGGAGCAAGGAGCCTCCCCTGGGAGCCAGGGCTGGGCCTTCGGCTCCTGCTAATGGACTGGAATGGGATGAGCAGGCTGTGCAGGAGTCTGGGGCGTAAGGGCTGGGCCCTGGCGGCAGGGTGAGGAGCTGCTTCCAGGGGCTTTGGGGCTGGGGTAGCGGCCCCTGCCCACCCCCCGCCACCAGGGCGGGGTGTGTAACAGTAGTGACACCTCCAAACCCCACCTCAGGACCGCACTAGGGCTGTGGCTTGTGAGGCCAGTGTGGGAAGCGAAGGTCCGAGACTGGGGTCTTTTAAAGTGGCCTGGTGGGTGGTTTGTTTAGATCTTCAGTATTTCAGAGGGGTCTTCAGATAGCCTGGGACCTGGGGTCAGAGCTGAGGATGGGATTCTGGGACAAGAGCTGGGGTAACTCTAGCTGTTTCACTGTTCGCCCCATTCCGTCTTCCCAGGAGCGGTTTCAAGTCAAGAACCCTCCCACCGCCTATATCCAGAAGCTGAAGAGCTACCTGGATACTGGTGGGGTCAGCCGCAAGGTAGCGACGGACTGGATGTCTAACCTGGGGGTATATGTCTCCCCCTTTTTCTCTGTCCCTTTCCCCGCCTGCACCTTCCAAGCTCTGGGCAGTTGGAGTAACTGTGTGAATAAACTTTTTGGTGGCCTTTGTGGGTATGTGTATGAATGTGTTTGTATACTTTTGGGGGATTGAGGGGGCCCTGGGCAGGCTCCTTTGCCTGTAGCTGCAGATGCTTACATGGGTCCACTCATGTGCACTATGCAGCGTGTGTGCTTGTATGCATGGTGTGGCCATGTGTGGACGTGTGCGTACTATGTGTGTGCTTTTGTGTCCACATATGGTTGTGAGTGTGTAC